CTTCCTTCCGAGGAGTGGCTGGTGGGTTTGAACCGCCAGCCTTCTGGTTAGCAGTCAAGTGCCTTAGGCACTATGCTACCAGAGCTCCTATCCCATAGCTAGCTATACCTTATTTTATACTTGAAAGGCAGACCTTTATGGCTAAACTATGAAACAGTTGATCATAGTGTCCAGCCACTAGGAGTTTTCCAAAATGCATGCCTGATACAATCTCTACTGTCTTTTAGTGGAAGGCCCTGGGTGATTCAAATGGTTAACATGCTCAGCTGCTAATTGAAATATTGGAGGTTTGAGTCCACTTGGAAGGAGCCCTGGTGGTGCAGTGCCTAAGTCATTTGACAGCTAGCCAGAAGGTTGGCAGTCAAACTCACCAACTGCTCTGCAGAAGGAAGATGGAGCAATCTACTTTTTTTGTTGTTATTATTGTGATTTGGGTGAAGATTTACAGAGCAAATTCACTTTCCATACAGCAGTTCACATATATACTTTGTCGCATGTCATTGACCACAGTTTACCACAATGCAACAGCTCCCCTCCCACTTCCTCCCCATAGTTACCTCTTCCCAGTGTCCGTCCCTCCATATTCTCCTGCCCCCTGAACTGTCCCCCTGAGCTGTCTCCCTGTGCATAAGCAGCCATTCCTTCTCCCATGATTAGAACAATCTACTTCTATAGATTTACCACCTTGGAAACCCAGTGGGGGTTGCTATGAGTCGGAGTTGACTCAACGGCAGTGAGTTTGGGAGTACACTCAGAGATGCCCCAGGAGAAAGGCTTGGCTTTCTATTTCCTAAAGGTCAGCTACTGAAAACCCTGCAAAGCATGGATACACATGGAATTGCCTTGAGTTGGAATAGACTTGACAGCTGATTTTGGTTTACCCTTGAGTAATTGTGGTATAAGTAGGATTAGATCCCAAAATAATAGTAAGTTTTGGTTTTAAAACGCAATTGAGAAGGAACTTTCTGCTCTCTTGGGACTCAAATTGTTTAAACATGCATTGTCCCTGTGGAACGCAACTAATGGTCATCTTTTTAAGGCGGTTTATAAACAAGAGAAACATATGATTTAACTTTTGAATATAAAATTAATTAAATAATTACCAAAGGCAGTGCTGGGTAAATTGGCTTGGATGGCCTTTATATTCATAAAGAAATAACGGTGTGTATGGGGTGGGGTAGGGGGTAATACATTTAAATCCTGGTTCAGTTCTCTACTAAATTGATTTGGGAACAAAAGGACAAAATTTTAGTTTGCTCTATTTTTGCCAAGCCTTACGACAGAATGTGGTAGTATGCCCTTGCATTATTGCCTTACTCAGAAAGGGTGCAGTAGAATGGCAGTTAATAAAAATTTTTCATGGCCTTAGGCTAAATTGTCTCACTTCAAGTAGACCAAATCCAGGATTCATCTTGATGAGTTATGTAATTTTCTAAAAGGTAATATCAGGGGCCACACTTTATAGGAATAAAATGTTACATATTACTTATATGAGGTGCCCACTTCATTCATTTCCTTTCATATTAAATCTACCAGGAGGCAAGGTCACCTGGTACTACATTAAAAGGACAAGAAGTAAGTAAAACACAAAAAATTTTGACATTTAACTACCTTGTATGTTGTAGAAATGTTAAAAGTGTAGGTGAAGCATCTTCAACAAGATAGCTAGGATGGCTCATTTTCAAACCATTCTAACCAGGTCCTTGGAGAATAAAAGGAAAGCGAAGAGGGAAGAGCTTCTAACTTCCCCATATTGGCAAGAATGGCCCACTTTTGCTCATTCTTGGATTTGAGGGTTACTATCCACCAGCCACTCCTCAGAAGGAAGATGGGGCAATCTACTTCTGTAGTGATACTGCCTCAGAAACCCAAGGAGAGGTCACTATGAGTCAGGTCCGACTCGACGGCACATAACAACATAAGAATTTCAATGGAAAACATGTTCCCACACTAAGCCTACAAAATTTGAATATTTATCTGCTAGGGTATAGAGGAATAGTTCTCAAAGTACAGTCCAGGGTTCCTAAAATTTCTTGATACTTTTTTTATTTTTAATTGTGATTTGGGTGAAAATTTACAGAGCAAATTCACTTTCCATACAGCATTTCACATACACTTTTGTCTCATGACATTGACCACAATTCACCACAATGCAACATCTCCCCTCCCACTTCCTCCTTATAGTCATCACCTCTTCCCTGTGTCCATCCCTCCATGGACCCCTGCCCCCTGAGCTCTGCCTGTGCATAAACAGCCCTTCTTTCTCCCATGATTGTTCTCTCCAGGTAAATGTTCAATTCCTATGCCTGTCTTTTGCTTGGCTGGAAACTACAGGCATGTAAGTTCAATTCCAGAACTGAAGGGCAGCTAGGGGCCATAGTCTCAGTGATTCCACCAAGCTCTATCAGACCAGCAAGCCTGGTCCCCCTCCCTTTCTTTTATCCCCCCAAATGCTTTTGAGTTTTGTTCCATTTGTTCTCCCTCTCTATCCAGGGTCTCCTACATAGATCCCCCTCTAAGTGGTTGACATTGGTAGCCCTGCACCATCTAGTTCTGGTCTCATAGTCGTATAGGCTGCGGATCGCATGGTGTACTAGTTGCTGGGACTAATTGTTTCTATGAATCTTTGGTTTTCTTCATTCTTATTTGCTCTGGATGAGGAGAGACCCA